AAAGCCAAGGAGCTGGGGGAAAGGCAGGACAGGAGTGGGTAACAGAGTTTCCCAGACACACCGAGTGGGTGCAGGTGCACCGTATGTGGTCTCTGGGTAGACTGACTGCCTTGGTGCTTGGGGGCTGGGGAGTGGCTGATCACCCTCAGCCTAGTGTCCTCTTCCCTTCTTGCAGTGAGGGGAAGTGCTACTGTTCTTTGCATGTGCTGTGATCTTGGAAAGCTGGCAAGCAACGTCCTAGAGTGCCACCCTCAGTCACTCACTTCGGGGGTGGAACAGCATCCGCTCAAGGGTTAAAGACCAAAGACTGCAAAGAATGGGACTGTGCCAGAGAGAATCCCAAACCCATCAACCTTCCCTTCCTTCAGCTGTGGCTGGGAGCACAGCTGGACAGCAGAGCCCCAAAGGAGACAGAAATTTTGTGGTTGAAGAATGTTCCCAAAGTGTGGGGCTTGGGAAACACCAAAGTGGAAGGAAGGTCCAGTTATGAAAACTGAGGCGGGCCAGTGGATGACTGAACCCCCACTCTGCCCCATCGTCCTCCGGGGTGACAGCAGAGACATTCCATGACCTCAGCAGACACTGGGGTAACACTCCACGACTGACCCTGGGGTAACACTCCACGACTGACCCTGGGGTAACACTCGTGGCCCCGGCTGACTCTAGGGTAACACTCCGTGGCCTGATTCATGTGGGGATAACACCCCACAGCCCTGGATGACACTGGAGTCACATTCCATGTCCCTGGTTGACGCTGGGGTAATGCTCCACAGCACTGGCTGACTCTGTTGGTTGCTCCCCAGTAGCCATGCCCAGTCTTCCTACCAAAGCCTCAATTCTGTTCCAGTGGCAATATGCCCAGCCTCAGGGGATGAGTCAAGATTAGCCAAAGCCTCCTATGGCAATCGCATTACCCTTGCCAGCGACAGGGGGATGGTGACCCTGTGACCTAGCTCTGGCTAGTGGCTATAAGACGCTGAAAGCTGGGAAAGTTTTCCCCTGAATTGAAACTAAAGAGACAACCTCTCAAGAAGACTGCTCTTTTCCCTGCCCCTTCCCTTCTACCCAGGCTACGCTTGGGTGAAGACACAGGTTCGCAGCTGCAGCAGCCATCTTGTGACCACGAGGAAAGGACAAGAGAATGGCAGTCACTGAGTGGTACCCAGTTGTGGCCAAGTTGCTGACAAACCCAGGATGTGCCGACCGTCTTCCAGGCTTCTCTTGTAGTGTATGGTAAGGACACTCGGGTATTCTGTTACTCGCCATCAAAAGCATGCTTACCATCCTGTACTTTTCCTATGTGTTATCATATTTGCATACAGAGGAGATGTGAGCACACCATCAGAGGAGAGGCAGCGGAACAGGTTGGATGACGACGGAGCTGGTAAATGGTGGGACCAGGCCTCAAACTCTCTTCTGCTGATAGGAAGCCTCAGGTACCGTCTGCTCTGCTCTGCCCCCGGGAAAAATTCCTTCAGCCTACAGATTCCCCATCTCAGGGGCCAGGCCTCAAACCTTCAAAGCCAATGTGGAAAAGTCCAATCCAAAATGACAAAATAGATCTGTGAAAGGAATGCCCCAATCCTTGGATCATTCTAAATATGCTGCTATTGTTATAAAGCTCTCCCAAACTGTTGCAAGAAAAAAAAAAAAAAAAAAAAAAAAAACAAGAAAAGAGAGAGAAAGTGAGCATGCCAGGAAGTCATTGAAAGGATACTTTTTTTTGTTGTTTTGGGAGCCAGGAAATGTCAAAGAAACAAATGTAGCTATGATTTACACTGCATCTCCAGTTGTGCCATGGGATTCAAAAATAGGCATCTTAATTAAAACTGACAGCAGAGAGCAGCTCTGACAAGTAGACAAACCACCAAAGAGGCTGAAAAATCTCCATTTGACTCTGGGTTGACAGTATTTAACCAATACATAGAGTTGATAAGAGAGAAGGAAAGTGCGTAAACTTTACTCCCAGTCTCCGGGCTTTTCTTGTTTTCAAACTGATTGGTCTGGACAATGGAAGGCCAACAGCCAACAATAAATCCATTGTAAGCTGGCATGGTCTCCTCTGAATACAACTAAATATTTCTTTAATCCTTGCATTACATTTTTTACTGTATTATGAAAGCCATGTATTCTAAAGTTTTAAGCTTTTATAACATTGTAACTATAGGTATGAGATGGGAGGATTGATTACTTAGGCAACCTATTTAAAGCACTTTAAGAGGAAAATATTAGATTTTTTTTTGCATGAATATTTTCACATCATACTGAAGATACGATCATTCATGGCTCTTACTCAGAAATCTTGTTTATCTCTTCCTTTGTGTGCCATGGGAAGGGTCTTTAATGATTATGAGTTGACATGAATATTCCTTTCTTGTAGCTTCTGTATCTTCATTATCAGGCACATTAGCCAGTCCCAGAAAAAGTTATTTCACAGTTCTGTTCCCAAGGGAACAACGACGGTGGGTCCCACATTAACAGTGGCTTTTGTTGGCTTTTTTTCCCCTGACATTAAAGCCATGTATGGTTGGCAACGATGTCTTTTCTTTTAATTTGGAAATGGTTTCTGCCTCTGGTTCTCTGGAAACAAGTTTGTTAGTAGGACAAGCTGCCCGCACACTCCCATACACAACTACTTCAGCGCAGGCTTAAAAGGGGCTTCACTGAGAACAAATCAGAACTGAAAAACAGCTTCAAGTACAAATGTTCTTTTCTTCTGAGATTTTCAGTTCAACATTTGGCCTTCATATCTAACGGCTTGAAAAAGTATCTATACATCTAATTAGAGTCAATTACTCACTCCCCGTATGTGCCTCCCACGGTGGCCTCCTCTCAGCCAAGGAACTCAGTGTCACCGGCCAGGCTGTGGACATTTCCCATCCAGTAACATTTACAAGAAGAATGGCTCCTAGCAGAAACAGACTGGTACCCCTAGGAGAGAGAAGCTGTCCCACAGGGGGCACCCAAACAACCAGAAGTTCGACCCCAACTGCATTCATACTGCACCATCTCTGACTCTCCACTGGCGGGAAAACCCAACCAGTTTACACTCCTAGCATAGCATGTGCCTCAGCTACCCAGCTGGGATTAGGGAGTAGGACCATAGGACCATGTGTGAATGGCACAGCAAGTTCTCCAGAATCCAGGGTTCCCTAGATTCCAAATTTTTCTTTTGCCTTTCTAATCAAGAAAAGAGAGACAGAGAGAGAGAGAGAAACACACCCAGTCCGAGAGAGAGAGAGAGAGAGAGAGAGAGAGAGAGAGAGAGAGAGAGAACACACACCCAGTCCAATAACTCATTGTTCAAGCAGTATAGTTCACCCAGGTAAAATTCAGTGCTGCTGGGGGCAGCCTGGGAGAGCAACTGCACAGTCTCTACCAGCTGAAGTTTAGGACTTTAGAATCAACACTTCCTAGCAGCAGCTGCCTGCCCAGGATGCCCCTCCCTCCTAAAATAGACACAATTTGTAGTTCCTTGTAAAATGGTTGTATCAGGACTTCTGATTTACTCAATCAGGGCTTGCGGTTTATTTTTAGCAAATAAGAGAGGCCTCCTATGAGAAAGAGCAGCCGCACTTATAGCGCTAACAGGTAGAAACTTGACTGGCCCTCCATAAATCAGTTCAACACCCTGGTCTCCAGGGATTTGCCAAAAGATAATGGGCGGCAGTTATGAAACCATCGCCAGGCGCTGCCAGCAGGGCTGAGAGAGAGTTCTGAAGCCTGCAGGCCCTTGCAAGCGGAAAAGAGGAAATCATTTCGTGAAGCAGCAATTTTACCCAGAACCCAGCGAGATGTGATCCTAGCTGAAATTAAAGTGACTAGGAAACAGGTGGGGTGAACAAGGAGGTGTGGCACACCTTCTTCCACTTTCCTTCAGAGTCCAAAGGAGCGCAACATTGGAAACACAGCTGGACACACTAATAAAGATCCCAGCTGGGCAGAGTCTAGGGAATTGGGGGTGAACAGGCCTGTCCTCCCTCTCTCCTCCACCTTGAAGCCCTGCCCGTTTTCACACAGCAATTGAGGACGCCCCCTTGGGCAGTGACTTTGGGGTCTGGGGCAGCCATCTATCCCAGGAGGAGGAGGAAGGCTTGGCAGGGGAGGCTCTGGCCAGCCCACCAGGGCCTGTCCAGTTTTGTGGGGAGGGGAACTGCCGCACAAAAAGTGGACGCTCTGACCAACACGTTGGGTGAGGGCTTTGAGGACCCAATGTGGCCCTTTCTTTGAAGACACACAGCAGCAATCTTAACCCTTAGAAGTGTCACAGAGCTTCATATGAGCCTTCAAGTAAGCTGTGGAAGTCGCGATTCCAGGTAAGGGACGGGAAACTCGGGATGTCCTGAGAGCCCATACCCCAGATGGCACCGCCTGAAACTAGAATGCAGGTCCTCTACCCCGGATTGTTTCTCCTTCCCCTCATCCTACCAGCTCATGTGGTGTCCCCACCCCCATCACCGAGGCCTCAGAGCGCCGGTGATGGCTCAGCCATGGGGCCTGAGCTGCTGGAGACACACCCGAGCACGGCGGGGCCCAGCCCTTGAGCCTGTCTGAGGCTTTCCTCTGCTGTGACCACCGCCTCTCCAGGTGTATCAGCGTTGGTTAGGAACAGTAGGTGCTACTGGTCACAGTCACCAGACACTTCCCACGAGCCTCATCTTTATTCCCCGGCGGGAAGCGGCGTGTCCGAGCGCACACCCCGTGGAAACTGATCCTAGGTCTGTTATTCCAAAGTCCCTGGTCCCTCCTTCCCTTTTCCCGCGGCCGCCTGCCTGGCACGGGACCCTGAGGCCGGAGCGGAGACCGCAAAACCCCCTGGGGCCGGCATCCCCCGCCTCCGCCTTGACGCAGACGCGCCCGTCTCTGGGATGGCCCCGGGCACACGCAGCCGGCGGGCAACCCTCCTCCCAGAGACCCGCACGCTGCCCCGGCCCCCAGCGTTCCGCCACCCTCAGCCCGACAGACCCGGGTCCACCCCGGCCACGCGACCCGACGCTCACCTCCCGCAGCAGGCGCTCCAGGTGTGGCTCGGCCCAGGCGTCCAGGGCGCCGGGCGGCCCCGCGCGCCGCAGCAGCTCCCGCTCCTCCTCGAGCGCCGCCACCCGGCCCTGCAGCGCGGCTGCCTGGACACCCAGCAGCAGGCAGGCAGCCGCCGAGCCCACGGAGAGCAGCAGGCACAGCGCGCTCACCGCCCGGGACCCGGCCGGCGTCGCCGAGAGCCCTCCGCCGCCGCCGCCGCCCGAAGCATTGCCCTTCCCCGCGTCGCCGCCGCCACCGGCGCGCTCGCCTGGGCCCATGGCGCGTTTGTCGCGCGTGGACTCTCCGAGGGGGCGGTGCTGAGCTGGGGTACAGGCTGAGTGCAAGAGAAGCAGGCGGCACAGCCCAAGGCACGAGGTCCGCGGGCGCGGGGCTTAGCCGCCGGGTAGCAGCGGATCGCCGCGCACGCCCCCTTCGCCGCCGCCAGCTCCTGCGCAGCGGCCACTTTGGGCAGTTTCCTCTATGCAAATAGACCCTGCCAGAAAAGGAGCGGGGACCCACCCAGGGGAGGAGCGGCCGGGCTGGCCCCGCGCGGCGAGGGGGAGGGGGCGAGGAAGGCGCTAGGTCCTCCGAGCCACCGGTCTGCGCCAGGCTGATCCCACGCGCAGCGCGCCCCTCTGCCCTCACCTGCCCGGGGCGCCGGCACCCGCCCCCGCGCGCACCTCCGAAGCTTCCCCAGCGCCAAGTCCACACTGTGGACCCCAGAGGTCGGAGGGGCGCTCAGCCACACCGCGCGCCTTCTGCAGCCCACCCGAGGCTGGAGCACCCACCACTCGTGCCTTAGCGCATTACTCTAAACTTGTGAATTGACCTTTCTGACACTTGTAAAAGTTCAAAACTTCAAATCCTGAGGAAAAACTTAGTGGGTCTGTCCTGGGCGGTGGATTAGCGCCGCTTGCTGGCGGAAAGCGACCTCTGCGCACTCACTTTCGGAGAGGCAGGGTCGAGATTGCGCCAAATAGAAGAAATACGCCTCTTAGAATCTTCTCACGGGTTCTTACCTGCCGGACTTAGGTGCGGGAAACAAAAACGGTAAGACTGTTTCTGGCCTAGAGAGGGCTTTTGAGAAAACTGAGACTATAACGAATGGGAAAGATGGAGAAAATGAACTCCAAGTCTTGTTGAACTGATGACTTAATTCTGTATTAGACGCACAACTTGGCCAAAAATTATGATCTAGTATGCGCCACGCTTAACCTGTACTGCGATTCTGCTGAAAATTTAAATCACAGTGCTGAGGCAAGAAGGCTCTGGCGTACAGCCTGGGTCCAGAGAACAGAATGAGAGGCACTAACAAGTCTTGGCAGGAAAGGGAAGAACTGCTGGAAGTAAGGCTGGGTTCACATTCCTACCAGGCATATTCATGTCCCAAATGGGTCCCAGGTAACTCTTCCGCTAACTCCTGTAATATCTAAATAAAAACAACAAACCAGTAGCTCAGATCTTTGTGATTTGATAACTCCACAACCATTTTTTTTTTTTTTTTTTTTTTTTTTAGAAAAATACGTTATATCCATCTTCCCTGTCACTCTGGATATCTTCCGGTTGTCTAATTTCTGTGGATACTCACCGTTTAGAACTGTTGAGCGTCTCTGGCTAACATGTTCCTTCTCCTTCCCTTAATTCAGAGGGGAACCCCTGAGATGGCCGGGGGTTATGGTTACACAGCGATAGTCTTGGCTCTGTGCTAAAGTCTAGTGTTTACTCAATAGAATTAAAAGTACTTGTGCTAAGCAAACTTGACACTCTATTCTGAAAAGAGGTCAACACCCTCTTGCAAGTCAGCACTACATTTCTTACAGACATATAGGTAAACTGCACACCACCTATGTTAATGTTACTGCGTGTATTGTTTGCCATGTTCCAGAAGCTTCTGGGTATTGAAAAAGCCACGCTCACTGGCCCCTTGGGCCTCTGCCCTTGCCTACCACCTCACTACCTCCATTCCTGCTCTCAGATCGTTGAACAGCAAGCCCCTCCTCATCCTCCAGGTTAAGGTCCTCAACCTCACTGCTTCTAAAAGACCTTCCCAGACTGCCCAATTTAAGGTGGCCCACAGGATTAATCAGGGAATTGGGGCAGCTGAATTAAGATGGAAATGCTGTCTACAACTCATTCTAAAAGGCAAAAAAGAAAATGACTTACTTGTGTCTATTGAGGTCCTGGAAGAATAGATGGCATCCTCAGAGAGGGTGACTCAAGACAGCCTGGATGTAAAGCCACTTCACAAAGTGGAGATCAGAGGGGCCAGCAGGGGAGGCCGAAGCAGCACTCTGTGGGTATTGACAGTGGGAGGCCATTAGCATCCCTAACTGGGAATCCTGGGGAACTGGGAGCTATAGAAGAGGGCTGCTCCACAGCACCTGTGGCCCTTGGTTAAGGGCACAGCCTCTGCAAAGCCATGGAGATTAACTGGCCACCTGGTGGCAAACCAACTACTTCGGATTCCCTCCTTCCTGGAAGGGCCGGTGGTTTGCTCCTCACAGGGATAGCACCAGGTGTGGGCTTGTCTTTCCTGCCTGCAGAGCCTCAGCCAGCATTGCTATCCTCACAGAATGCCCAACCCACAGGTACGGGATCTCACACACCACCACACCCAACCAGGGTACCAACTTTACAGTAAAGGTCTGGGGGTGAACCCATGGACCAAGGAATCCACTGGTTGTATTGCATCCTACACTGGTCAGGAGCAACCAGCCTCACAGAATACTGGAACTGCCTTCTGAAGGCACAGATGAGGCACCACTCCCTGAAGGATTTAGTGTCATCTCTCAGGATGTAGTGCACACGTTAAATCAGGAATCTCTGTATGATGCTGTGCTCCCAGTAAGAATACGTGGGTCCACGAACCCAGGGGTAGAAGCACTAGCCATCCCCCACCATGACGCCATGGGGATGTTGTGCTTGCTGTTAGAGGGTTGGAGGTCCTAGTTCTCAAAGGGGTTACATTCTTGCCAGGGCACACAGTACGAGTTCCATTAAACTATAAGCTATGGCTGCCACCCAGGGCATTGTGAACTCTGTATATAGGGACCTGAAATCAAGAAGGCACCATTTGGCAGAGGCAGTTGACCCTAATGAGGAGGAAGAAGTAGGGCTGCTTTTATACAATGGGTGCAGGAAAGAATAGGGTGGGCACCTCATGATACACCTTTACCCCATTGCAACTGGAACAAAAATGTGTAGCAACTCTGACCTGATCATCCACAAACGCTCAGACTCTTGGAGATAAAAGGAGCATATCAAACTATTTTATAAAATTGGGATTATTTGGGTCAGATAGGGTTGAGAACCCCTGAAGAAGTAATGTTAATAATGAAAAGGTTCAAATATGTTCAAACTACTGTTCAAGAAGGCATGGATATGTAATCCAGTTTACAAAAATTTTCAGCAGAAAATTGTTTAAAATTAAACCACAAGGTTTAAAGGGATAGCAAAGCGGTTTTTGTTTGTTTTGGCAATGTTATTTTTAAAAATTTTTTTAAGAAGGCAATGTCAAAAAAGGCACCAGGTTTTGATTCGATGCCTAGATTCTAGTTCTGGCTCCACTAATATCTCACCGTATAAACTGAAACAAGCTACAGACCCTCACTATTTATTTATTTTAATTTCTTTTCTTTTTTTTTTTAGAGGTGGGGGTCTCACTATATTGCCCAGGCTGCTCTTGAACTCCTGGGGTTGAGCAATCCTTCTGCCTCGGCCTCCCAAATGCTGGGATTACAGGTGTGAGCCACCATGCCTGGCCACCTTTTTGTTTTTAAAACAGAGATATTGACATGGACCAGATTTACTATCTTACTATTTAAAACAACTAAAAAGCCAAAAAAAAAAAAACCTGTAAAAACAGCAGTTTTCGAGACACCAGACATCAGGTATCAAAGGCCAGTGATCCTTGGGAGATGGGAAACAAAGTGAACCCAAGGATTGCCCTGGGTTCCTACTCTGGAGAGGTTTTCCAAGACATAAGTGCAGGTAGAGCCAGCCGACGGTGAAGAGAGAAAGCTGAGTCCAGGGAGGCCAAAGCAGTTAGAATTTGCAGAGAGGACAGGAGAGGGAGAGCTGCACAGAGAATTGGACAGCTGCACAGAGAATTAGAGATCTGCAACTGGTCCCCCTGAAGCTTTCACCCGAGGACTCATCAGCATCCACGTGAGGAAACTACCAGAGGCCAGGATGGAATAACCCAAAAGGATTAGACTCTAATAATTGGCAAACACAAACCCCACAGCTCACACAAAGCCAGGCATAGTTCTTCCTACCAACCAATGTGGAAAATCTAACTCAGAGAACATTGGGTAGAGTACTCAAAAGGTTTTTGCCTCGGTAGTGGGGAAAAAGCTAGCCCTAGACTAATTGCTGCCCTGGTCCTGTCTAACAAAGCTTAAAACCCAAACCTGAAGAGATCAAACTGATTGAAATACTTAATCATGTCCCACAATGAAGCATACAGAATTTTACCCAATAAGGTAAAACAAAAGGTAAAATTACCAGTCATGCAAAGCAGCAAGAAAATATGACCCATAATAGAAGAAAATGCAATCAATCAAAACCAGCCCAGAAATGACAGAGATAACAGAATTAGCAGTAAGCAAAGCTATTAAAAGCTGTAACTGTATTCCATATGTTCAAGGAACTAGAGAGAAGATTTAACATGTTCAGTAGAGACATGAAAGATATCTTTTAAAAAGACTTAAAATTCTAGAGATAAAATGGTAATGTTTGAGATGAAAAATACATTGGATGACATTAAAGGCAAATTAGACACTTTGGGGCAAAACATCAATGAACTTAAAAATATATCAATATAAGCAAAATGAAACAGTGAGAAAAAGACTGAAAAAAATGAAGAGTGTCAGTGATCTGTGCAATCACTTCAAGTGGCCTAATGTATGTATAACTGGAGTCCCTAGGGAAGAGGGCAGAAAAAAATATTTGAATAATGGCTGAAAAAATTTTCCAAATTTGCTAAGAACTATAAACCCACACACATATCCAATAATTTCAAGAAACCCATACACAAGAAACAAGACAACCACACAAGCCACATTATAATCAAAATGCTTGAAATGAGTGAAAGAAAACAATGTAACCAGAAAAAGAGACATAAATACAGTAACAAGGATAACAGATTTCTTTGTTGGAAATAATGCAACCCAGAAGATAGGTAAGCAACATCTTTTGTCAACCTAGAATTTTATACCCAGCAAAATTACCTTTCAAAAAACAAAGGCTAAAGAGAGACTCCTAGACATACAAAAGCTGAAAAAATTCATTCACCATCAGACCCACAATTTAAAAAATATTAATGGAAGTAATTCAGGCAGAAGGAAAACCATGCCAGATGGAAATATGAACTTATACAAGGACTGAACACCATAGAAAATACTAACTCTGTGGGTAAATATAGGCTTCTTTTCTTATTATTTAAATGTCTTTTAAAGATAATCAACGGTTTAAAGCAATAGATAGATAGATAGATAGATAGATAGATAGATAGATAGTGGGTTTTTAACATAGATGGTTTTTAACAAGGTTGTACACTATAAACTCTAAAGCAACTGCTAAACACACACAATAGTTACAGCTAATAAGCCAGCAAAGGAGATAAAGTGGAGTTACAGAAAAATAGTCCAAAATAAGGCAGAGAAAGAGGAAAATACTAATAAAGAACAAATGGAACAGAAAATATCAAGATGGCAGATCTAAACCAAACCACATCAATAATTACACTAAATGTAAGTGGTCCAAACATAACTAAAAGGCAGATTGTTAAATATGATAAAAAAGCAAATCCAACTGTGTACTGCCTATAAGAAACATTTTAAAGACACAAAAAATTAAAAGTACACACATAGAAAAAGTTATTGTGCTAATATTTGCACTCACTCATTTATATAATTCCTGTAGGGTAAAAAGCAAAATAACAGGAAAATAATTTGTAGGCTATAGAATACTGTATAAACCTACGGGGAATAGATCAAGAAATGCTGAAAATAATAGCTACTATTCACTAGCACTTTATGTAAATTTCAATTAATCCTCACAACCCTCAGGAAGTTAGGTGTTAGTTCACAGATGAGGAGACTACAGAGATTATGTAACTTGTCTACATAATACAGGTGACAACAGAGTCTGAATCCAACGAACTCTGCTGACAAGCAAACCATATTATTCTCATGTTATGTGGTTGTTGTGAGGACACTCTAAATATTTAAATGTTTCTAGAGTAATCTGAAAAGTGTAAATAGCAAGATCTTTTAAAAGTAAACTCCCCTATCAATGAGATACTCTAAACATCATAAAGCCTTACTTTTGTCATTCTCAAGACTGTACTTGCTCATGTTGTCTTTAGCTAGAAGTAAACCAAGAAGCTTTTGAAAACAATTTTTTTTGTTTTAAAAACT